AAATAATTAGGAATTTGAAATCATCATAATTAAGTAATTCATCGAATCTAGAAGAAACCTCAACAGAATGCAGAATTGACGCCCGTTGTCTGATATTTGGGACTCATCCGCTACCAAGAATTGAAACCCGGACAGGTAGGATAGGAGGCCAACTGTAACGGGCCTGGGTGGCGAAGAGGTAACGAATTAGACTCGATATAGCGATCACTCACTCACTCACACACACACATACACATATATACATATATATAACTAATTATTTTGCTAGTTTCAGATCTAGCTATCTATTAATTACTTTCTTGAACTTACTATCAATTTAGCTCGCTAGCTATGTATCTAGTTATCTATATATCTATTTTGGTTTCTACATATCTCTCTATCGACCAAGCTAGCTCGTTATATATTTCTGTCATTTCTTTATCTATATCAATCTGTTCATATCTATCTATTTCAGCCTGTTCCTATCTATCTATCTATCTATCTATCTATCTATCTATCTATCTATCTATCTATCTATGTCAGTCTGTTCATGACTGTCTATTTATCTATAAATTTATCTCTTGGAATTTATAGATAAATAGACAGTCATGTAATGGATTTGACTGGAACTCCAGATCGGCTCTCCGAATCCTCAATCCGAGCCGATATCTATTACTCCAACGTGCTTCCTCGACACCACCGTCCTTCCTCGAATGAGAATAAATTAAGAAGGAAAAAAATGAAAGAAAATGGATTAAAAACCAGAGGGACAATAAAGAAAGATAACGAAGAAGATTAAAATGAAAAGGTCGAACAAAAGGAAGGAAAATGAAAAAAGTTGAGAAAGAAAGAAAAAAATCATTTGAAAAAAAAAATGACGAGAAGAGAGTCGAGGGGGAACGAGGAAAATTCGGAATGAGGAAAAGTAAACGAAAAAAGAATAACGAAGCAAGAAAATGAAAGAAAAATCGAAAATGCAGATGAAAAAAATAAAAAAATTAAATATATATATATAAATGCAAAAGCTGTCGGAAATGAAATGCGAAAGATGTCATTTGAAAGATGTTGGTCAGTGATTATTGAATTGACGTTTCATTAGTTTTATACCATTTCTAGAGACAAAGGAGAAACTACCTGTAGTGATAGGCCCCTCAGTGGCAGTTCAGCTGCTATTAATTAAGAGGATACCACATTTGATACATATTCACTGTTTTAAAAAAATATGTGAATATATTTACATGAGCCATGTTGAAAAATAGCGTTTAATGCAGTATCTTGTTTAGTCAGAAAAGCTGAAAAAATACCATGAGAGAACAGCTGGTACCTTAAGGAGAACTCATAGGGTCCTCGCTTGATACAGTAACGATTTATTTTTTTCGTGTATGTTTCTGAAAAAGATACACAGACGATAATTGTTCTCCAAAGATTTTGAGATGAAATTTGTATGTCGCTAAGAATTTAACGAGAAACTTTTCGGAGTGGGGTAAAAATTTATATCATTGAAAGATGGAATACGACAGTTGAGAAAGAAAAGACTATGTTGAAAATATTGTTCAGAATCTTGAAGCTTTTTGGTTCCGTTTGGAATTGCTTTGTCTGCTTTTAATATCAGATACATTCTTTCTTTTTATGTGCCGTGTCCCTTCAGGACGTAGGCGATCATGGCTCTCCACTTCCTCCTATCCCTTCAGCTCTCAATAAGTTTTATCTCTTTGCTACTTCCTCCAAACCCTGTTCTGTCATCCACTTGCTTAAGCCCGCTAGATATATCATGGGTTACTTTACCTTTTCTCCCTTTCCCTCTATTCGCCCTGTGGGTATCAGATTCTCCAAGCCCTCCTTTCTCATTATGTGTCCCAGAATCTTCAGCTGCCTCTTCCTGATGTTAAGTATAAAGAAACTAGTAAACAGTTCCATAAGCAAAAAATGTCAGAGACAAAACTTACGGTTACATCTAGCAATTTAAACTGTAAAATAAAGGAACCTTGTAAATACAGTCTTTTTTATTTGCCGTGTCCTTTCAGGACGTAGGCGATCATGGCTCTCCTCTTCTACCTATCCCTTGTAGCTCTCAATAAGTTTCGTCCCTCTGCCAACTCCTACAGGCCACGTTCTGTCATCCACTTGCTTAAGCTTGCTAGGTATGTCATGTGTTGGTTTCTCTTGTCTTTGTTTCCCTCTATTCAACCCGTGAGTATCAAATTCTCCAAGCCCTTCTTTCTCATTATGTGTCCCAGAAAGTTCAGCTGCTTCTTCCTAATGTTTAGTATAAGCTTCGTCCATGTTTAGGGTTAGGTTCAGGGTTAAGGTTTAGGGTTAATGTTTAGGGGTTAGGGCTAGGAGTTAAGGTTAGTGATTAGTGCATACATGAGGATCAGTTAAAAAGTAATTTCTGATATTGGATATATATATATATATATATATATATATATATATATATATATATTTATTATTATTATTATAAATCTTATAAGTATAAGAAACTATACTCGTTCGGAAAACCTTCGGTGTCTTGATTTGCAAGTAATCAAACCAATACCAAAGGGAAAAAAAACGGTATAAAAAAGAAAGAACCAAGAACATGTACGTTAGCCGGAAATAATCGTCTAACATGCAAGTCCAAAGCCCAAAGAAAGAAACCCCGATGCGAGTACGCAAAAAAACGAAATGAAGTGCTCAATACAATGAGTAGAGCAGACCTAGTTAAACCTAGAGAGCCAGACAAATCAACCAAGGGTTCACCTAAGCGGATCATCAGAGAAGGCCTTCGTGAAACCTTGGTAGGTTTGTCTGCCTCTCTAGGTTTAACTATATATATATATATATATATATATATATATATATATAAAAATAAAAGAAATTACTTTTTAACTGATCTTCATATCGTGTTTGAGAAAGAAACACAGTAAATTAAAAACTATAATGTAAATCTTATGTGCTTATGGCTGTATCAGGTTGAAACCGCGTTTTCATCTGATCACTGAAGTTAAGCAACGTCAGTCCTGGTCAGTATCTAGACGGATGGCCGCTGTATGCTATGGGTTTATTAGTAAGACATCTATCACTAAAACTATTATTATAAAAAAAAAAAAAATGCGTCCAAAATATTTAGATTTCGGCGTTAAATAACCCATGGAGATGTTGATATGCCGCTAAACAAAAAACACCCAATCAGTCTCAATTTGAACCCTAAGATGTAGAGGAGAGTTGAAGTAACAAAAATGTGATTTTAAATGGACCGGTCACGTGAGCAAAGACGAAGTTTTGGAGGAAATAGATACAAAAAGGAAACTGATAATTAACACCAGAAAAAAGACAGTTGATATTTTAGAGGCAAATCATGAGGAAAGGGGCTTGGAAAATCTGATGGTCACAAGACAGAGTGAAGAGGGATAGAGGAAAACAACGCATAACACTAAGTGAACTTGAGTAAATGGATGTCGGAACAGGATAACAGAAAGATAAAGTTTATTGTGAAATACATGGTTACGGAAGTTATGGAGAGCCATGATCCCCGACGTCTTGAAGGCATTACGCAGTTAAGGAGGATACCGATTTCATTATCTGCGTTTCAGGAAACTCGTATATTTTTGCTGATTTTTTTTTTCATTTGGCTTTATCATTTTTTCCGTTTTTTTGTTTCTTTTATTCAAATTTTCTTTTAAAATTTTCATTTTTCTTTCTTTTCTCTTTGAATTTTCGCCTTTTGTTTTTTCCATTTATTTTCGTTCTTTGTTAAACTTGACATATCACTTATTATTCATTATTTACTGTAACTCTTTCTTTCCCCCTATAGACAGTTCTTCCTTCCTTTCCATTTTTCTTTCTGTATTCACTTTTCTTTCTTTTTTTCTTTTTACTTTCTTTCCTTCTTTCTTTCTTTCATATTATTCTTTCTTTCTTTATTGGCATTTTTCTTCTGAAGTCTTTATTTTTCAATTTTTATTCTGTTTAATGCACTTTCCCTCTTTTCTTTCTTTCTTTCTTTCTTTCTTTGAATGAGCATAATCATCTCAGACGTAATAGTCACCGTTTTTTATTTCTATCTTTCTCCTTTCTTCATTCATATTTGTTTTTATTTCTTTCTTTTCTCTTTGTTTTTTCTTTCTTTTTCCTATTTTTCTTTCTTTTTTTGATTTCCTTCTTTCTTTATTGATATCTTTCTTTTGAAGTCCTTATTTTTCAATTTCTATTCTGTTTAATCCACTTTCTCGCTGTTATTCCTTATTTCTTTGAAAGAGCATAATCATCTTGTTTTTACATCTTTATTTACATTATTCGGATTCATCTTTGTCGCCATATTTATTACAACGTTTCGGCCGTTGTACGCTCCGGCCTTCTTCAGGTGGTTAAAATGTCAAACTGAACCCTTTATTTCGCTCACTGGGGTAGCCTGTTCTAGTTCTACGTGCCATGTTTTAATGGATGTCAGTTATCAGTTATCTCCTGTTAATTTTCCTCTGAAAGTTCTCCATTGCCTTACCCGGGTATTGAACTCACACTCTTTTTGGGTCCTGTCACTGGATCTAACTAACGCCTCTATCCACTGATGTGAAGGGGTTAGCAGAGAAAATACAAAGGATCTAGGGTCCATATAACATCAGGACAACCTTCAAAAGCTTGATGACACATTGCAGATATCTCTCCCGAGTAAGATCCCTCCATAAAGGAGAACACGCTATATCGTGCACTTGCGGAAAGAAATATAAAGCGGAGACAGACCGCTTCCTTAAGGTAAGGCTTTAAGAATACCAAAAAGCTGTAACACGAGGGGAAGTGAAAAAATCAGGCGTGGCTGACCAAATATGGAGAGAATATTGAGAACACCGGCCTCTGTGGGACCAGGTTGAGATCATAGACAAAGAACACCATTTAAAAATTCGTAAATTTAAGGAATCAGCGCATATGCTAGGCCACAAAAATCTTCTGAGCCGACCAAGCATAGAAATGAATACAATATGGGAACCAGTAAAAAGGAGTGCCAGAGAAAAGCGATAATAACAACAAAAAAATTGCAATATGAGCTCTGGTAAAAATATGTACTGATAACAGCAAAAATTGCAAGATGAGCAATAATAAAAAAAATGGTTGCTGAAAACATTAGGTTTATAATACCCAGAAATTCATATGCAGATATCCTCATGACACAGTAGATAAAGGCGTTGGTTAGATACAGTGACAGGACACAGAGAGTTTGAGTTCAATATCCGGTTAAGGCAGTGGAGAAATTTCAGAGAGAAAATAACAGGAGATAACTGATAACTGACATCCATTAAAACACGTGGAACAAGAACAGTCTACATAAAGGCTTAATTTTGATATTCCAACCAGCTGAAGAAGGCCGGAACGTTGTAATAAATATGGCGACAAACATGAGTACAATAGTCCGAATAATGTAAATAGTGTACATAATACCTCATCTCAGAAATATAGACAGATACTGAAGGGCCGAAAAATAGTAATAAATATGGTGACAAAGATGAGGACAATAGTCCGAATAATGTAAATAATGTACATAATACCTCATCTCAGAAATATAGACAGATACTGAAGGGCCGAAACGTTGTAATAAATATGGCAACAAAGATGAGGACAATAGTCCGAATGATGTAAATAATGTAAATAATACCTCATCTCAGAAATATAGACAGATACTGAAGGGCCGAAATGTTGTAATAAATATGGCGACAAAGATGAGGACAATAGTCCGAATAATGTAAATAATGTACATAATACCTCATCTCAGAAATATAGACAGATACTGAAAGGCCGAAATGTTGTAATAAATATGGTGACAAAGATGAGGACAATAGTCTGAATAATGTAAATAATGTACATAATACCTCATCTCAGAAATATAGACAGATACTGAAGGGCCGAAACGTTCTAATAAATATGGCGACAAAGATGGAGACAATAGTCTGAATAATGTAAATAGTGTACATAATACCTCATCTCAGAAATATAGACAGATACTGAAAGGCCGAAATGTTGTAATAAATATGGCGACAAAGATGAGGACAATAGTCCGAATAATGTAAATAATGTACATAATACCTCATCTCAGAAATATAGACAGATACTGAAGGGCCGAAATTTTGTAATAAATATGGCAACAAAGATGAGGACAATAGTCCGAATAATGTAAATAATGTACATAATACCTCATCTCAGAAATATAGACAGATACCGAAGGGCCGAAATGTTGTAATAAATATGGCAACAAAGATGAGGACAATAGTCCGAATAATGTAAATAATGTACATAATACCTCATCTCAGAAATATAGACAGATACTGAAGGGCCGAAAAATAGTAATAAATATGGTGACAAAGATGAGGACAATAGTCCGAATAATGTAAATAATGTACATAATACCTCATCTCAAAATATAGACAGATACTGAAGGGCCGAAAACGTTGTAATAAATATGGCAACAAAAGATGAGGACAATAGTCCGAATAATGTAAATAATGTACATAATACCTCATCTCAGAAATATGAACAGATACTGAAGGGCCAAAATGTTTATAATAAATATGGCAACAAAGATGAGGACAATAGTCCGAATAATGTAAATAATGTACATAATACCTCATCTCAAAATATAGACAATACTGAAGGGCCGAAACGTTCTAATAAATATGGCGACAAAGATGGAGACAATAGTCTGAATAATAAAAATAAATACATAATACCTCATCTCAGAAATATAGACAGATACTGAAAGGCCGAAATGTTGTAATAAATATGGCGACAAGATGAGGACAATAGTCCGAATAATGTAAATAATGTACATAATACCTCATCTCAGAAATATAGACAGATACTGAAGGGCCGAAACGTTGTAATAAATATGGCAACAAAGATGGGGACAATAGTCCGAATAAATGTAAATAATGTACATAATACCTCATCTCAGAAATATAGACAGATACTGAAGGGGCCGAAATGTTGTAATAAATATGGCAACAAAGATGAGGACAATAGTCCGAATAATGTAAATAATGTACATAATACCTCATCTCAGAAATATAGACAGATACTGAAAGGCCGAAACGTTGTAATAAATATGGCGACAAAGATGAGGACAATAGTCCGAATAATGTAAATAATGTACATAATACCTCATCTCAGAAATATAGATAGATACTGAAGGGCCGATATGGCGACAAGGAGGAGGACAAAATATAGAGGTTTTTACTTTTTGTTCTTTCTTTCTTTCTTTTCGATTTTCTTTTTGCTAATTTGTCTTTTTCTTCAATTTTTTTATTTTGAAAATTTTTCTTTTTTCCTTCATTTTACGTTACTCATAAAGACTTATATATATATATATATATATATATATATATATATATATATATATATATATATATTCAAGCATATTTGGGTGAATAATCTGAACATGTTATGTTTATTTTTATTTTAATGCTCTCGAATTTTTTGGTCAACTTCTTAATATTATTAATATTGATATTAAATTCATTATGGAAGGCGTCGTATTTTAAAATACTTTTAACATATTAAATAGTTGATAGGTTCACCTAACGTCCAGTTCAAACACCTCCCATCTCTTTCGAATAAGAACAGTGTTTTACGCCCCCCTCCCTGTTCCTTTTGTAGCAATATCAGCTGTCAGCTGATATCTTTTCGAGGAGACCGATTTTATTCAAATTTTCTTTTAAAATTTTCATTTATTTCTATTTTTTTTTCTCTTTGAATTTTCACTTTATTTTTATTCGTTTATTTTCAGTCTTTGGTAAAACTTGACATTTCTTTTATTATTCATTATTTATTTAAATTCGATCTGTTACTCATTCTTTCCTCGTATAAACAGTTCCTTCTTTCTTTCTTTCTTTCCCTATTCCTTGTTTCTTCTTCTTTCTTGCTCGCATTGTTGTTCATATTATTGCCTTTCTTTCTTTCTTTCTTTCTTTCTTTCTTTCTTTTCCTACTCCTTGTTCCTTCTTTCTTGCTCGCATTGTTCTTCATATTATTGTCTTTCTTTCTTTCTTTCTTTCTTTCTTTCTTTCTTTCTTTCTTTCTTTCCCTATTCCTTGTTTCTTCTTCTTTCTTGCTCGCATTGTTGTTCATATTATTGCCTTTCTTTCTTTCTTTCTTTCTTTCTTTCTTTCTTTCTTTCTTTCTTTCTTTTCTCTTTGTTTCTTATTCTTTGTTGCTCGCAATGTTGTTCTCATCATTTTCTTTCTTTCTTTCTTTCTTTCTTTCTTTCTTTTCTCTTTGTTTCTTATTCTTTGTTGCTCGCAATGTTGTTCTCATCATTTTCTTTCTTTCTTTCTTTCTTTCTTTCTTTCTTTCTTTCTTTACTCCTTGTCTTCTTTCTTGCTCGCATTGTTGTTCTCATCATTGTCTTTCTTTCTTTCTTTCTTTCTTTCTTTCTTTCTTTTCCTACTCCTTGTTCCTTCTTTCTTGCTCGCATTGTTCTTCATATTATTGTCTTTCTTTCTTTCTTTCTTTCTTTATTCCTTGTTTCTTCTTCTTTCTTGCTCGCATTGTTGTTCATATTATTGTCTTTCTTTCTTTCTTTCTTTCTTTCTTTCTTTCTTTCTTTCTTTCCAAACAACGTTGCACCCAGATAGCTCTTTCCTTCACTGCAAACGCACGCACACACACGCGCATGCATATTAACTTACACCCCACATACACCCACCCCACACACACACACACACACACATATATATATATATATATATATATATATATACATATATATATAAACCAAAGGAGAACACTCACCATTTCAAGAAAAGGGAGCAATGTAAAACTCCGCTTCTATAATATAACTTACTGCTAGAATTATGGTTCATTCTTATTCTTTAATCTGTAAGTGAAAAACATGCACAAGTTTTATTCCCGCTAATCCTACAAGATACATGATCCATGGATTTCGCGCATTTAAGAAATTCAAGGTCGGAGAAAGTGAAATATATTTTCTTTTTTTCTTTCTTTTTTTCTCTCTCGAGGTCTTTGCATTGTTCTTATTTTTTTCTTCTCTTTTTTTTTCCTTTTTCAGAATTAAATTCTTTTATTTTGTCGTCTTCTGAATCATTGCTACATTCATTCTTTCTTTCATTTTCTCAAGGTCTTTGACCTGACCTTTTTTTTTTTTTTTTTTTTTTACTTCGGAAGCAGTTTGTAGTAATGTCTTTATTTCATTCTTTCTTTCTTTCATTATATTATTGTTTTCCTTCTTTCTTTCTTTCTTTCCTTATATAATTCTTTCTTTCTTTTTATCATTCATTCCTTCTTTATATCATTCTTTCTTTCTTTCTTCATATTATTCTTTTCCTTCTTTCTTTCCGTATATAATTCTTTCTTTCTTTCTTTATATCATTCACTCTTTCTTTAGATCATTCTTTCTTTCTTTCTTCATATTATTCTTTTCCTTGTTTGTTTCCTTATATCATTCTTTTTTTCTTTTTATCATTCATTCCTTCTTTATATCATTCTTTCTTTCTTTCTTTCTTCATATTATTCTTTTCCTTCTTTCTTTCTATCATTCCTTCCTTCCTTATATAATTCTTTCTTTCTTTTTATCATTCATTCCTTCTTTATATCATTCTTTCTTTCTTTATATTATTGTTTTCCTTCTTTCTTTCTTTCTTTTTATCATTCATTCCTTCTTTATATCATTCTTTCTTTCTTTCTTTCCTTGTTTCTTTCTTTCTTTATATAACTCTTCCTTCCTTTCATTTTTCTTTCTTTCTTTATATCATTCTTTCTCTCCTTGTTTGTTTGTTTCTTTCTTTATATAACTCTTTCTTTTTTCTTTCTTTTTTAAACCTTTCTTTCTTTGTCTCTTTTCCTTTTTTATTTCATTTCTATTACTTTTTCCTTCTTTTCTGTCATTTTTATTTTTATTTATTTCTATCAATCTCCATTTTATTCGTAGTTATTTAACCTTCCTTTCTATCGATCTTTCTTTCTATCTCTTTCCCTCATTTTTTTCCTTCTTTGTTTCTATCATTTATTTATTTACTGCTTTTCATTCGGTAGGTAT